CCAAAACAAAAATCATAAATCTTGAAAAGTTATGCATCTTTGTTGTTGACAATTTTTTTATTTGAAATCATTTATCAAAAGAAAATTATGGCTGAATTCGTTTATAAAACTTGGATGGAGAAATGACGAAAACCAAAGTTGTAAATCTCAAAAATTTATAAAACTTTGTAGTTGACAATTTTTTCATTTGAATTCGTTTATGGTCCCAAATATTCATTTTAAAACCAGATGAAGATAGAACGAGGAGGATGAATATCCCAAATGGACACAAGTGTCTTTGTGGAGTGGTTACAGATGAACGCGTGAAGCCTGAGGTCATGGTGTTAAAGCGTTGCCGGCCAAAAGTGCGCGAAAATTCTCGTGACTTGTATTAAAAAAATCAAGTGATTGTGTGGCTAGCTGGTGGGGTCTTTTCTAGTATTAAAAAATGCTACTTTTCATCTCCTTTTTGTCTCGTTTTTGTGTTTTCTGAAAACCTTATCACAGTCGGGCATTGATCAGCCCCCTCATCACCGCCGCTTTGGTTGTGCCGGTTGTCGGTTTTTGAACCGGCAATGATAGTCCGTTCAGGGACATTTTTTATTGCTAGCTACCTCTTTGAATGGAAAGCGAAATACACCTGAAATGATCTAACTACATAACAAATTTTGTTCATCTCGCGATCACTAATTTTTTGACTGAATAAAAACTACTAATTTTTTATATAATCCATTTCAAAAACCACAATTCAGTGGATTACAAACTCTGAGACCAATTCCAAATTTCCAATACCGTGGGCAAACAAGCCGTGCCCCAAGGTATATTCTCAACCAACAAATAAAATTTACTTGTGTTCTATAACTAATCTGCTATTGTCATATACTCACATCTATGAATCTCAACGCTAAAATAAAAAATTTACGCTCAACTTGCACAACTTTATATATAGCCAGCTCCAAGGCAAGGTCACCCCTCCAAGAATATAAAGATACCGGCACCATTCATATTCATAGATCATAGGCGACCATACTACCGTAGCTCTCAAACAGAACTAGCTGCCTGCAGTTCTGCACTGCAAAATCAGCCTTGAGCCATGTCGCTGTCGTCGAACACCAACTCGTTGCCCTACTCGACGGACAAGGGCGGCTACAACACGCACGACACACTTGTGCTCCTCGGCATCGGCTTCTGCGCCACCGCCGTCTCCGTCCTCATCATCGTCATCTGCGAGTGCCTGTGCTGCCGCCGCCGCCGCCGCGGCGCGGGGGGGACCGTCGTGTACGTGGCGGCCCGGCCGTTCTTCCTACATGGCGGCACCACCGACGGCGATGGTGGGCTGAGCCCCTCCGCGGTGTCCACGCTGCCGTCGTTCGTGTTCCATAGGGGCGGGGACCTGTCGGTTGGCGGCGGCTCCGGCAGTGGCGAGGGCAGCGGCAGCGGGCGCGGGTGGGCGCAGTGTGCGGTGTGCCTGAGCCTTGTGCAGGAAGGTGAGGTGGTCAGGCGGCTGCCGGCGTGCATGCACCTGTTCCATGTCTGCTGCATCGACATGTGGCTGCACTCTCACTCCACGTGTCCTCTCTGTAGGGCCACGGTTTTGCCTATTAAGGAGGTCCCTACAAAAGACGATCAGCCTCCGGTGTAACGCATTATAAAATGTAATTTAATCTACGTTGATGTATATAGTATATAGCTATATATATAAATTATATATGATAGATTTTTACTTATATATTTATAACATAGTTTGTGAGAGTTCAACTGTCACATAATATTTTTATAGAGTTGCTACCTATATGTCAGGGTTATGTAAATGGGATACCCCAAAGCGCGGACATAAGAGTTGCTCATGACGGCCCGGCTGGCCATAGCCCAGCTAAACACGCCCGTCCATGACCTCTCGCCCCAAGTCATACGAGGCCCATCCTCAACCTCTCTCACCTCTCGACCATGCACCGCACAGTGCCCTCAACCGCCCCAGCCTTAGCTGCTAAGGAAAGGAGGAGAGATGGGAGGGCACATTCAATACGCCTGTCCATACGGGACATGCACTCGCCCACTCCATCGAGTACAGGGAGGACGGCCGTTCTGTCTGACCATCCTGCCCTGGGGTAAAGCGTTACCTCGATCAGCACCCCGCTGATAGACAAGACAACACCAGGGCACGACAACGTCACCCCGCGTGGCTCGGCACTGCCCAAACCCCGTCAAGCCTGATGGACAGGAGTACGATCCTAACCACCACAGCATGGAGATCATGACCGGGAGCCAGCTCTCCCGTTCTAACCGGATCCAAAGCCCTCGACCCGGCTATGAGAGGCCAGGGCAGCAGGGCCGCGATTTCGAGAGCAGGCAGCCCGCAATGGGACAGTCACTCTCCCTGTAAAGTGACATCACTGACTTCTCCCTGAAGAAACAGAGCGCTAGGACGGAAGCCACGACGCCAGCAAGCAAGCCATACCGGAGAGGGGAGTTGGTGAGCAACCACCGCTCTCATTGTGCGGCTATGGCCGGAACAGTACTGTTGCCGTACGCCACGCTTTGGCTTAAGGAGCAAGCTCATGACGATCATACCCCGACACGGCGACAAGACCAGATGGACTACTTAACAAGCACGCAAGCTTCTTCCTCAGGCTCCTGGCCACTCGGGCTAGGAGAAGCCTACTTCTCTACATGTAACTTGGCCCTTGCCACTATATAAGGGGAGTCAGGCCTTCTTCCAAATGATCGATTTCCCCTTCCTCGAAAACTTTCTACCAGTAGGACTATAGCTTTCATACCCGCTGTTGTAAGCCTTTTGGAGCACTTTGGCATTGAGGAACACGGAACACGTACTCACAGATCTCTGGCACTGAACGTAGGGCTTCGTCCCGAACCAATATAAATCATTTGTGTCCTAAGTGCTAGCCATCGAATCCCTTAGCACGACGATAAATTTACTGGTCGGTTTCCAAGACACCGACACTATACCCTTGATTACAATCAATGCTAATATTTGAGTATAATGTAACTTATTTTTATATGGAGAAGGTTGCAATTATATATAGTTCATCAGGACGATAACGTTGGACAAATATGACTGAGTTATCCACTTGAACTAGTTTTGTACAGACTGCATTTGTCTATTTATGATTCCTATATACCTATACGTATGCTTAAGTATCGTGGGACAATGCTTTTTTTTGTCTAAAAGATACGATGGACCTGGTAGCAAGAAATCGGTCGCCACTGTCTGATTGGTTCTTGAGATTGACAAATGATACAATATGGACAAAATCATCCTCAAGTCAACTCAATCATACATGTTTTTTCTCAAAAAAAAGTCAACTCAATCATACACCTTTTCCTATCATCTCGCCGTTTGGCGAGTAGTATTTCAACGTCCAAACATGATTACATATCCCCGATGACATCATTGTTTCCCTTTGGTAGATCAATTAAAGTAACCGTGCACATACACCACAGTGACAACGATTTTTTTTTTGAGGCAAACTCTGTTGCCTATCCAATAAGGCTTTGTTTGGCACAGCCAACAACTTCATAATATGCTGTTGTGGGCTTCTTTTTTTTTTTTGCCAAATGGGTCTTTTGAAAACAGATTCACACATGAGGCTTCTTAAATCTTTCGTTCACATCGGAATGTGGTAGGATGAAGCTGCAAATAGTAACTTTTCATGGCTTCATCTCACACTTGTGGGCCTATTTCGTACCGATGCCAGATTTACCCACGCGCGGACACGGCTGCCACAGCACGGGCGCCGCCGGGACTGCGGCCACCGCCGCATGGGGGCACGGGCGTCATTCTTGCCGGGGTGCGGTTGCTGCCACCGGGGATCGAGGGCCCTCCAGGGAATGGCCATTGGGGCTCGCGGTTGCCGGGCGCACAAGAGATGCAGCGACGCGACGAGGAGGGCCACCATGGGGCACGGGCGGCCGGGAGGCGCCATTAGGCTCACACGCCTAGGAGCCACTGCCGTCGAGCACGCGCGACCGGGATTAGAGGCGGTGCCGTCAGGCGCCGGTGGCCGAGAGGCGCTACCGTGAGAGGCATGGCCGGCTGACGGGCTTATGGGCGTATGTGTCGGAAAGAAATACCATGGGAAGAAGATGAGAAAAAATATAATAGAGAAGGAATGAAAAGCTAAGGGCATCATTTTAATTTTGTTCCTTTTGTCATCATGTGAAGCTCTTTTGTTAAACAGGGTCATGAAAACAACTCAGCTTCATCGATATAAGCTGCTCAATGAGCTGAAACAAAACAAAACAACTTCATTAGTGAAGTTGAGCTATGCAAATGGGCCTAAGAAACTAATCTGTTACTATATTCTATATAGTTCATATCACACTAAGCAATAAATTCTTTTAAAACTCAATCCTCAAGCTGCCACGTCACTCAAACCTATCCTCCTGCTCTTGCGTGAAGGTAGCTGAGCTGCTGAGATGTGACGCCGGCAGGAATGGCGCCCATTTTGATTACCAAGTCGAGTAGGCGCTATATGACGCCGGCAGGAATGGCGCCCGTTTCGGCAGGCTGTTCTAGAACTTGTTGTGTGCTTCTACAAATTTTCAACTACGCATTGGTGGATAAGCAAATTGTTCACTTGGGCCCTGTCTATCACAAAAGGAATAACCGGCGGGAGAGATCCAACAAACAGAACTGATTTTTTTTTCGTTGTTGCGTATATACAATTTTCAGTATCCGCCCTAGCTGTCCATGCCATTAACACAACAAGTTCTAGAAGCCCACAAGAACTTGAACGTGCTGTAACCGGTGTTCAGACTTCAGACTCGACGCGGTGATAAACATGCCAAGGAACACATGGTTACTGCCGTTTCCGCCGTAATCTGAACCTGATGCACTCCAGAATTTTTTGATTAATATAAATACTCTCTGGTTACTGCGTTGGTTCGACGCTGTCTCCTGATGAAGCGATGACGGACTACTTAATGCCGCGCGCTAAAAGCTTTGGCCGCAAGCTAAGTTCCAAGTAAGCAGCATAGCACAAAGTACGTTTCTACCGAAGATGCCAAGGTTGTACACGAGGCCCTCGGTGGCGGTGCTCTCCGGCGAGTCTGTCGACGACGTCGGCGACGGCTACGGCGTCTTGGCAACCGTGGCGGGCGAGTCCTGCTCGCTGCTTGTCGCCTCCTGCGTGCTCGCCGCGTCCGTCATCATCTGGGAGGCGTGCGCCTTCGCTGCCTTGGCCGCGATGCTCGTCGCCGGCGTCACCTGGTGCCTGAGCCTCGCAGCCGCGGGTCGTGCTGCCGGCACGGTGTTTCGTCCCACCGCCACGCCAGGCAGCAGAGCCAGCGGAGTAGGGTGCGGGCTTGCCGAAATAGACATCAGCGCGCTGCCCAAGTCCCCGTACCAGCACCACCGCCTCGGCGGCGGCCCCGCGGGCGGAGGAGACGGAGTGACGTGCGCCGTGTGCCTGGAGGACCTTCGCGGCGGCGAGATGGTGCGGAGCCTGCCCGAGTGCCGGCACCTGTTCCACGTCGGCTGCATCGACGCGTGGCTGCAGATGCACGTCACGTGCCCGCTGTGCAGGTCTGATCTCTCGCCGCGGCGACGGGTTACGACGGCCGCGCCGGTAGGATCGCAGGCTGGTTCGTGGTCGCCGCAGTAGCGCTATTGTAGTGCGGGCTGTAATAAAGAGTTAGAAATGTTTTCGAATAGTAGCGTACGTTTTGATCAGTTGTGCAAGGTGGGAAATGTGAAGCCAGAACAACTACTAGCACTGTGGCAATCAATAGGCTTGTGATAATTGAGGGCATGTTTGTAGAGCTGTGCAGTTTTTCAACTAACAAAAACCGAAAACCAAACCGAGCAGAGGCAAGCGATGAATCGGTTTGTTCGGTTGTTTGTTTTGGTTTTCAATATTTTAACCCGGAAGTTTGATCTTCGGCTACAGCTTCGGTTTTTTATTCAAACCGAACTAAAGAACCGATCCAACGAACTAATTAAGACAACAATCGATGAACACCAGCAAACCCCCTGCGGCCTGCCTGGCGGCCCCCTCCCCCAATCTCCTAGTCTAGCAACTCACCAAGGCCTAATAATATGCATCACCGGCCTCGCTCACTCCCACTCCCACCCCTAGACTATAACATTCAGACTTACATGCACTCCTAAACCCCAACTTGTTTTGGCTGGTGCAATTCTTTAATTATGAAGAACCTAACACCTTGATCGGGGAGGGCTTGGTGGTCACGAGCGTATCTCAATGGAGTTCCAACGTGGCGAGAGGTTGTGTTTTGGCATTCAACATTAGGGGATACATAAACGTGTGATGATTGGGAGTTTACACTCTTGTTTGATCCTTTACTTACTAGATCTACACTTTCTCATTGTGCTTGACGGTGTGCTAGTCGGTTTTGCTAGGTACCTCTAAATAACTGCAGACCGTCGATCTAGTTGGCTATAATCAGATATTACCTCCTAAGAGGTAATAGGAGAAATTTTTTTTTTTATTTTTTGAGAAATAGGAAAATAATTAAATTTGAGGTAACATATCTATCAATTAGAGATCTAACATGCATGCAAACATGTGACCGTGGGTTTGTATTGGATGATTCCCAACGTGACATGTAACATTTTTTCATTAATTAATCTACATGGAGTTGTAATTTGTCTCAACGTTAGATGTACATAAACATTAATTGTACATAAACGTTAGTTGTATTTTTTTCTACAATGTGACAAACGTAGAGGTGCATTTTAGTTATTTATTTAAATTAATCTATGTTGGTATGTAAATTAAATATTTATTTTTATAATTCAACATTAGTATTCAGTAATCAAAATGCAGCTTTTGACGTTGATTAGGCTCAAACCATCAATATATTCACATAATATGTTCATGTATATGATGTACCTCTACAGCTCTACTTTGGCAGGTCTGGTATGGTGCTAGGCACCCTTCGCCTTGCGGGCTCCACCTGCATTGCTTGTCGCTGTTGCATGTTGGTGCACTCCATCGCTTTCTATGCAACAAACAAATTATTCTTGGATATTTTATATCTTATATACATTTGTTTAGTTTGTTGCCTTTTATTTTTCTTTTTCTAAACATTTTAGTTAATTTATAATTATTTAATTGTTGTATGCAACTCAAAAATCAAGGGCTAAGATTTGTTTGAGATCTTACCTCATCCTATGAGGTAAAGGTTGTACCTAAGCAAGGCCTGTGCTCTTTACTTTTCCTAGATTAGCATATGCTAGTTTACTTATGTGGCTCCCCTAAACTTTTGTGGGTTTTTTTAAACAGAGAGCACTACAAAAACATAGGTAGACATCATGTATATCCCTAGGCTAGTTTTTAAAGAGCCAATTTATCCCCTCCTCTTAGGTATTAACCGCTCATATCCTTACACCATTGCCTCCTAGCCTTGATAGTGGCACAACAAGATCCTCATCGACATGGTTGTCCTTTGTGCCAGTCGAGTACATGCTCTAGTACACAGAACATGAGGACCGACGATTCTAAACCTATTTTCACTAGCGTTTTTATCAACTGCCAGTGTGAAAGGCCAGTGAAAGTCGTGAACTTCACAAGCATCTTCTAGAGAATCACCACTACAAATCGAACACTCAGCAGCATCTGCATGAGAGGGCAGCCTGAAGCGACGTCAGCGGCAAAGTATTCGGCCGAGCAGCGACGATGACAAAGCATCCGAGGGACAGTGGCAAAGAATTCATTGCGAAGAACTAATCGACTACAGCAACACCAAGCAGGCTGGACAGACCATTGGAGGAGCTTGAAGCATGCACGGCATAGAACAGGAAGGAGCAACTCACTACGCCAGATTTGCACATCACTGCCGGCCTCATCACTGCCGAATTTGTGAGAATCGGCAGTGATGTACCTTCACTGCCGGTTATGAGCTTGAAAATGAAAAAATGATTAGAGTTGGGCTAAAACCGGCAGTGAAGGACCACATCACTGCCGGTTTTTGGCTTGAACCAGCAGTGTTTTGGCGGGCACTCATCACTGCCGATTTAAGCCAAGAGCCGACAGTGATTGGGCACTATCACTGTCGGTTCTAGCCAAGAACCGACGGTGATAAGCCTACAACACAAAAAGGCTGCAGCCATCCTCTCCTTCCTCCTCTCTTCCATCGTGAGAACAGAGGCGCGCATTTGGACCCTTCCCTCCATTGTTGCGGCTGCTCTTCACCATGAAGCTAGTGCTTGGATTTTGAAGAATGGCTTGATCTTTTTGCTTTAAGGTTAGTAACAAACATCCACTCCATTGATTTTGTTGCTTAATTAGCTTTGTTTTGATGGCTACATTGCTTGATTCTTATTCTAGTTCTTTCTCCATTCTAGAGAGCACTTTTTCAATTGGACATTTGTGCAAGGCTCAAATTATGGTGAATCTATCATCCAAAAGGTTGGTGTCTATGAACACATTTAAATTCCTAGCTAATTATTCCATGGTGGTCAAGATCATCATTGTTAGCATGTGATGCTATAATTAGTTCTTAGAAGTAGAGTAGAATAGTTGTTCTTCAATATTGTGCAATAATTATTTTTTACTACGATTTTTAATTTATAGGGTCGGGGCTATCAATTTCAATTTTTTAATAATTAGTGTACAATAATATTTTCCAAAATGGTACTTTCGAGCTACAATTGTTGTTCATAAAGCTCGATTTCTTATTAATTCTTTGTAATTATTGTCTTAGTATTTTTTTTGTGCAGAGATGGATCGAGAGTGGATGCATCTATCCCGAACGGACAAGCGGTACATGCATGGTGTCAGCCAGTTTATCACCGATGCCAAAGCCCATGCTGGGAATGGAAACCCTGTCTTCTGCCCATGCAAAGATTGTAAGAATCATAGGAACTTTCGTCAAATTGAGTCCATACGATCGCACTTGATTACCAGGGGGTTCATGCCAAACTATACGATATGGACTATGCACGGCGAGGTTGGTGTGAATATTCTGTAGGGAAATGATGATGATGTGGACATGCCTGACGTAACCATCCACGATGCTGACGTGGAACCTGGTGTCAACACGGAACCTATGGCCACTGTTAATAATGTGTTTAGGAACACGCTAGCTGACGACACCGAGGATAACGATGGCATTTCTCAACTGCTACATAATGTAGAGACCGGATGTCTTAGTGAAAGACAGCTGAAAAAACTAGAGAAAATGAGACAAGATGGCAAAACACCATTGTATAGGAATTGTCCAATGAGCAAACTGGAAGCCAACATCATGCTGTTAGAGTTAAAATCGACAAACGGATTGAGTGATAAAGGCTTCGATCAGTTGTTAGGTATAATAAGGAAAATGCTCCTAGAAAAAATGAGTTGCCAGAAAAGACATACTTGGCCAAGCAAATGATCTGCCCCATCGGCCTCGAGGTTGAAAAAATCCACGCATGTTCCAATGATTGCATATTGTACCATGGAGAAAAATACAAAGACTTAGACAAGTGCCCCAAGTGTGAAGCTCCACGGTACAAGGAAGGGCCATCAGATGAGGGTACCAAGACTAGAGGAGGTCCCGTAAAGATCATTTGGTATTTCCCTATAGCTTCTCGGATGCATAGGCTGTTTGCATGTACAAAGTCAGCCAAGCTATTGCGCTGGCATGACGAAGAGCGTAAGAAAGATACAATGATGAGGAACCCCGCCGATGGGCATGACTGGAGGACTGTCAATACTATGTTCTATAAGAACATCGGTGGAGAGGTAAGGCACCTTTGGTTTGCTTTGAGCACAGATAGGATGAATCCTTTCGACCAGGTTAGAAGCAATCATAGCACCTGGCCAGTGACGCTCTGTATATACAACCTTCCACCTTGGGTCTATATGAAGTGGTCGTACATCCAGATGCCACTACTGATCCAAGGGCCAAGACAACCTAGGAATGACATCGATGTGTTTCTGGAACCAGTGATCGATGAACTAGTGGAGATGTTTGAAAAGGGTGTGTCGGATGTTTGGGACGAGTACAAAAAGGAACATGTCACAATTAAGGGAGTACTTATCGCTACAATCACCGACCTACCAGGTCGAGGTTCGTTGTTCGAAGAGAAGACAAAAGGCTATACTGGATGTGTCGAGTGCTTGGACGACACCAATGCGGTAAATCTGCCAAATAACTCAAAGATAGTTTATATGGGACACCGTAGGTTCCTACCTAAGGATCACCCTTACCGCAGGAACAGAAAAGATTTCAATGGTACTATTGAGAAACGCTTAGCTCTAAAATATCGAGACAGGCCTACGATACTTCGAGAACTCAACAAACTAGAGGTTGTCCTTGGGAAGGGGGACAATGCAGTAGCAGCGCCTGATGGGAGCGTTTGGAAGAAAAAATCGGTTTTCTAGAAACTACCTTACTAGCCATTTCTGAGTGTACACCACTGTCGTGATCCCATGCACATCACTAAAAATATGTGCACTAACACTCTTAACACTTTGATGGACACCGAGGGGACATCGAAGGATTCACTAGCCACATGCCTGGACATGCAACACATGGGAATCAGGAAGGAGCTGCATCCCATGGAGCTAGAGAATGGCCAGTTCGAACTTCTGGTTGCATCATGGACATTGAAGAAGGAAGAAAAGCGTGCGCTTATTTCTTTCTTCAATGAACTCAA